TATGATTGCATATCTATGTGTATATTTACCACTAATATTATATATATATATATATATATATATATATATATATATATATATATATATAAAGTTGACAATCTTGTACTACTTTCTATTTCTTTCTCTTAAAAAGGTGCTTGTGATTTGAAAATCTTTTAAAGGTGTTTCGCTTCAGTTCTAATAAATGCTATATCAAATTCATTTTATTATATTCATTTGCTTTCACATTAGCTTGGTATACAACATTCTTTGTCAAACAAACACCTCCAATGGACAAACCATTTGCTGTTATTCAATGAAAGATATAGAAATAACACCATTCTTTCAAAACATATATGGAAACTAAAGGTAAATGAGAAAACACCAGCATCAGAATGGAATATAATAATAAAGATGAAGAGGATAAAATAGCAATTTATATATGAAGAAGAATCATAGAATTCAAGAACATAAAAGATTAATAAACAAAACTTATTTTGAACTGTCAACACATGGATTTTTAAAATGATAGCGCGTGAAACAGCAGGTAAATAACCAAGAAATGTTATCACTAACGAGCAGAGAATAAATTTGCTCCAATTCTGATGAGGGTTATCCCCAATGGGTCGCCAGGACTCGAACGCCTATTGTGCCTAAATCTCACCACAAAACTTAAATTAAAGTCGTAGAGTTGCACCATCGCTAAAGATGCTGGAAAAAACGTTGGTTCCTTGTATCGCTACTGCAAATACGTAGCTTTTACCGCGATGCAGTATCTTTTGATGAGTCAGATCAGACTAAAAATTGAGTATTGATTGTTGCCATATTTTGTTTATTGTTGGTTCTTATATATATATATATATATATATATATATATATATATATATATGCATATCATTAAATTGTGAGGTTTTAAGTGCCAACATTGCTGGTTCTTTTTCCGTAATTTACAGATAGTAAGGCATTTTTAGGCAGGCAGGTTTTATCATAAATTGCTCGATATCAAAATGTGAATAAAAGCACTGAATAGTGGAGGTATTATAACAATGCACTCATGAAATTTCGAAGTGGGCATGACTAAAATAACGCCACTCAGTTAAGCAACAAGTTTCTCCACATTATATATATATATATATATATATATATATATATATCATACTTATTAAAAACCCAGGTTTTGTGTGTGTGTGTGTGTGTGTGTGTGTGTGTGTGTGTGTGTGTGTGTGTGTGTGTGTGTGTGTGTGTGTGTGTGTGTACGTTTATATATTGGATCAGATTTCCCATTTTTCAACCGATTTCAACAAAACTTCACAGGACTACGTAAAATTACCTTGCGGTGGTTCTGACAGCGCCCAAAATTGAAAAACACAATTGTTTTTGCACGAAATCAATTTGAAAACACGATTAAGAGGCATCATGAGAATGAAGGGGAACAACTCATATCGAGTTATACTTATTATAAAATCAGGTTGTTTGTGTTTGTGTGTGTGTGTGTGTGTGTGTTCTGTTGGTTTATATATGGGATCGGATTTCCTACATTTTCAAACGATTTCAACAAAACTTCACTTATTTTTTGGCATAGTGTTTCTTATTGTCTTGCACACTTTTTTTATTTTTACATTCAGAATGCTTTAAAATTCATTTACAAGACAATTGTTTGTAATAAAATTCTATTCAATCGATAGACTCATAACGATTGAAAACAATGTTTTTGTTCGAGTTTTTTTGACCAATTCGTAAAAAAAAAAAAAAAACTAATTAAGACATTCGTGTCCGTCAACCGTAAACAATAATCTTTATCAATTTTTTTTCAGTCTTTATGATGGTCGATACTTTCTATCTCTTTGTTACATCCCCGGGCAACGCCGGGCTCTACTCTAGTATATATATATATATATATATATATATATATATATATATATATCTCTCTCAAAGTGGAAAAAGGTTTTCGTGTGACGCGTTTCGTCCTTTAGAATGTCATCGGATGAAGTTCTTAAGGACGAAAAACATTTATTCCAGCGTCTTTAGTAATGGTACAACTGTGCACTTACATTTAAGGTCTGGAGTGAGGTTTAGGCACAATAGGTGTTCGAGGCCTGGAGCATCATTAACTTTTACGGTGGTGGGATTGCACATGCGCACGAATATATATATATATATATATATATATATATATATATATATATATATATATAGCTGATTTCATTTATATTCATTTTCTTTTTCTTTCCATCACTTTTGTTATTATATATCCCACACTTTGATAGCAAAAGATCTGCCAGGAGTGGGGTAATGTTGTAAGAGCCAGGGCATACATTTACTGTGGATGACCGTGCGATCAAGGCACTGTCGATACATTTTTGTCTAAGCGAATCTCCTTTCACCAGAGTAGCATGTTTTATTTCACAATTGTGGTCAGTCTCGTTACGGTGAACAACTAACGCATTTGACGTATTGTTTTGTAAAATGTTCCTTTTGTGTTCATATAATCTTTTATTTAGATTCCTTGAGGTTTATCCTATGTATTTTTTGTGGCAATTATAACATTATTTTTTTATGTCGAGTTTAGATAAGGTATTTCAATTGTAGATGTACTAGAGTTGGTTGGTAGGACAATCTATTTTTGATTCATTGGGTTTGTCAGGATATATATATATATATATATATATATATATATATATATATATATATATGATGAATTTTTAAATTATTTTAGTAGATGCACGTATTTGAGTTGATATCCTTGTTTGTTTTTGTGTTTTATGTTTGTTTTTTTAATTTTCTTTTTAACAGTAAAATTATTAACAATCGGCCTAGTTGGGTTTCTCGATCAATGCCGGCGCTTATTAATTTCACTGTTTAATAAAATAAAATAAAAATAGGGATAGAAAGTAAAAAACGTGTACCCCAATAAAAATAACGTTTAATATATATATATATATATATATATATATATATATATATATATATATCATAAACAATAAAATCAAACTTACTTCATATGGGAATAGCCTATTTCGGCAGGCGAAGATGCCGGTCGTCTATTGTCTTATCAACCCCAGCGTGGACTGAGTTCCTGTCTATATAGTTAAGAGAGACGTGAAATAGAATTTAACTGTGAAAAAAAAAAAAAAAAAAAAAAAAAAAACCTAAACTCAAAACTAATACAGAATTTATCCATTTCAATGTTTCATTCAGACGAAAGGCACAAGGGAGGGTGGAATGTATTTATCTTAAACCCGAATTTTAACCTTATGGCATTAAATTAAACCCGAATATTAACCTTATGGCATTAAATTAAACCCGAATATTAACCTTATGGCATTAATTTGCGGTTATATGAAGAATGAAATAATTTAAAATTAAAAGAGGAATAAAATGGTGTTTAAAAATAAATTTAAAATATATAGATAAAATGATGTCAGGGATTAATGGAAAGAGAGCTGGGGCGATATTAATGTAGGGAAAGTTTATAATTTTTAATTAATATTGTGTAAAGAGGTTATAGAGGAGGGAAATTAAAATATAGAAATTAGAATTAGTTATACTGTCGACATTTGAAATGTTACAGGGTATTATGGAAATACAGTAGCCAATTTAGTTAAACCTAGATTATGGAAATTTGAATTTGTTTTTATGTCGCCATTTTAACACTAATTCATTCCTCTGATTCAATAGTTGGCATTGATTATTGTATTTTATTATTATATTTTTTCTTCTAAACATGAGTCACTCCTATCTCACAGAATATTAGGAGTGTGTGTGTGTGTGTGTGTGTGTGTGTGTGTGTGTGTGTGTTGACAGTGACTCTGTGAGTCAGAAGTTTGTATTTATTTCAGAATTTTTGTTTGATATTTCCACTGTATAATGTTAGATCCATATAATTAATATTCACCAGTGAATTAAGTGCATTGGCAAACAAGGTATTTATATTAAAGATCAATAATTATTGTGTAAAATATTTTTTCACTTGCAGGTTGCGTACTTATTATTGCATTTATGTGTGTAGGTACCGTTCTCTCTCTTTATATATCTCTCACTATTTCTCTTTCTGTGTATCTCTCTCTTTCTGTCTCTGTCTCTTTCTTTTTCTACCTCTATCTCTCTCTTTCTCTCTCTCTTTCTCTCTCTGTATCTCTTTTGTCTCTTTCTCTCTCTCTTTCTCTCTCATTTTGTCTCCCTCTTGCTGTCTCTCATTTTCTATCTCTTTCTGCATGTCTCTCTTGCTATCTCTCTCTCTCTCTCTCTCTCTCTATTCATTTATTTCTATCTCTCTCCCTCTTTTATCTCTCTCTTTCTGTCTCTGTCTCTCTCCTGCTACCTCTCTCTTTCACTTTCTCTGTCTCTGTCTCTCTCTTTCTGTCTTTCTCCCTTCTACCTTTCTCTCATTCTCTATCACTCTCTATCTCTCACCCTTTCTCTCCCTCTCTCATACATACAGAGAGAGAGAGAGAAAGAGAGAGAGAGAAACTATATTATATTTCTTTTTTATTTAGTGGCGAATATCTACAAAGTTTCTTTCCCTTTTTCAATAGTCATAATTTCTTCCTTCTCCTCTTCTGGTACTCCCCCCTCTCTCTCTCTCTCTCTCTCTCTCTCTCTTTCTCTCTGCATCTCTCTGTTTCTGTTTCTGTCTCTTTTTCTCTCTCTCTTTCTGTCTCTCTTTTCTATCTCTTTCTTTGTGTCTGTCTTGCTATCTCTCTCTCTCTCTTTCTGTTTATCTCTCGTTCTATCACTATTACTTTTTCTGTCTCTCTCTTTGTACCTATCTCTCTCTTTATATATCTCTATTTCTATCTCTGTCTCTCTCCTTCTACTTCTCCCTTTTTCAATCTCTCCCTCTCTCTCTCTCTTTTTGTCTAACTCATTTCTATCTTTCTCTAATACTCTATTGCTCTCTCTCCCTTTCTCTCCCTCTCTCTCTCTCTCTCTCTCTCTCTCTCACACACACACATACGGAGAGAGAAGGAGAAACTATATTGTATTTATTTCTTATTTAATGGCAAATAAATATCTAGACAGTTTTTTCCCTTCTTCAATAGTCATAATCTCTTTTCTTCTCTTCTTGTAATCGCCTCTTTCTCTTTTCTACCTGTCTCTCTCTTTCAATTTCGTTTCCTTTCTGTCTTTTTGTGTCTCTCTCTTTCTGTCGCCCTTTCTCTCTCTCAGTTCGGACATTTTTTTTGCTTCCTGCTGGTGTCTATTTTTATCAAATTCTCATCATATCTTTTCGGTTTCTTTCTTATTGTATTTGCATTTTATATTCGTTTATTTAGGGGTTTTATTGTTGATTTCCCTCAATTTCACAATGGCCGGCTTCCTCTCTTTCGAATTGTTGCACAAAGACTCTTGATGCAAAATGTTTCTCCATTTTCGTTGCATTTAACGGTTCAAACTCTTTCCCCCTCCCTATCAAAGTTCTATTTCTATTCCTCTCTCTCTCTCACGCTCTCTCTCTCTCTTATTCTCTCTCTCTCTTATTCTCTCTTTCTCTGCTTATGCATCCACGCACGCACATATATATTTGTGTTGGAGGGGGGGGCACCTCGAGACGATGTAATGGTTGACAAGCTTGTCTCGTTAGAATAGTTACAACGGTGTAGTGAGTTCGATCCTCACTAGGTGCCCCATACTTTCGGCCTTGTGTCACATCTATGCTACGCTTGGAAAATTTCTATATATATTTTATGTATTTCTTAACTCTTTCTATATCCTTTCTCTTTTTCGTTTTACTGACTTCTTTCCTCTTCTTTTCCCTCTTTATTCTGCATATATTATTATTATTATTATTATTATTATTTTCCTATTATGGAAATTTTTATATATTTCCTTCTTTTCCTTTTATGGAAATTCTTCTTATGTCTTTCTAAATTTTTAAAAATATAAAAGAATTGATGTTTCATAAGTAGCATTTTTAAATAAAATCGTTTATAACCATCTTTGTTCACCACCTGATGAGATGCTTATAGGTTTAAGCATCGAAACATATATGCATCTTTGTAGTGGGTACTTGGTTGTTTGTATGTAACAACTTATAAATAACTATTGCTCTACTTTTATATTGATCCCTCTTTTAAATTAACGTTATGAACGTTTGATTTTATATTCTTTTCTTTCTCATTACATTTGTATATATATATATATATATATATATATATATATATATATATAGAGAGAGAGAGAGAGGGGGGCTCAACCGTTGTCTTTTGACGCATTAGGGACCAACAACCAGAATAACTGCTCATATGAATTGATTAAAGTGGTGAAGGCTTGAGAAGAACGGACCACACGTTTTGGAAGAGCCGAATACGAAGAACTGGTCCAAAGCGTTCCAAAATGCTGAAATTTTGCATTCCTAAGTTTTCATTACTGCGATTTTTTTGCCATGTTCTTGTAGAACATACATCAATTCGGCATTTAATTTCCGTTGAGGTAGTGTCCTCTTCTGAAGCCACACATTTTATCCAGCGTCGTTTCCATTGATGCAAGCATTCCTAGAACATCGTTTAGGGTATAGCGGGAAAACCGCCTCACCGCATTCTCTGGATTTTTCGCAACATCTTGAAATCTTGTTCCTTTCAAGTAGGATTTTATTTTTGAATAGGAAAATGTCAGTAGGGACGAGATCTGGGGAGTATAGTTGCTTGTCAGTCCTTGGGAATGTTGTACTTCGTCAAAAACTTCTGCACAAGACATAGTTACTAATGGAACCTCTGTGGTATGGTGAGACGACCGCACTCTACACACTTTCCTTCAAGGCTCTGTTAGAAACAACGGACATGAGCGAGAACGGTATAACTTAGAGTGATACGCGACAGAATTCAAGGTCATTCTGAGCCAAGAAACAAACATATTATTTAAGAAAATTAAACATCGTATGTAAATAAGAGGCACTTTAAGAAATAAAAACATTAGACATACAAAATAACAAATTAACTATACAAAACATTACCTTAAAAATTAAAAACTAAACAAAATAACTCGTAATATAAGTATAAACCTATCTATGACAAACATTATTACCAGTAATATACGAAGTTGAACCTATTTACGACCTTTATTTAAGATAAATCAGCAAGGATAACATTAAAATATTTATATGAAGGTAATATAACATAAGAGAAGTGATTATTAAGTCAAAAAGTTTAGTAAGATTGTAAGATTAAATCTTTAGTGTGCCTACAATTCACAGCAGTTTCAAACCTCTGATTTAACAATTGACCGCTATTAAGCATTTGTTAGATAATGAACATTGCTCAGGACTCTTACAGTTGCGTAGGTTAGTTACACGGGACATTAAAATTGGTACAGAGCATTACAGTTATTATTGTTATAAAATTTTATTATTGCGTGATTTAATAATTTTTTCCAGATTGTTAGTACAACTATAGCTAACTTTTAGAGTATTCAGTATATTACTGGATTACTTTTAGGAAAATGTTTATCAATTAAGTTTAAAAACTTGTGTCCCAACTTTGTACGAACTAATTTATTGAATAGTGGTGTATACCAGATGATATTTCTGTTTCTATTCTTTTTCCTAGGACAACTATAATGTTCTACAAACTTAATTTCAGAAGATCTGTATCCACTATCACGAAGAACTTTATTATAGACCGTTTTATGTTTCTCGAACACATCTTTGTTAGAGGAGTGTTGGTTAATATGACGTTCAACAGATGATGGAATATGTTGAATAACATACGGTGGGTGATTAGAGTTAGGGTTCATATAAATCGGGTTAGCATTGGTTTTCATACAAGGTTAAAATTTATATATATATATATATATATATATATATATATATATATATATATACTAGCAGCATGGCCCGGCGTTGCCCGTGCTTGATTCAAAAATCGTACGATTCATACAGCAATCACTATCAGATGACTTAAAATATTTTTGCCCTTCCTTGCCTTTAAAGGAGTGCCCTTTGCCGTGCTAATGTTGCTACATGCCTTACTGCTTGCCTATCTCACACTGCGAATTTTTTCTAAGCTCTATACTAAACATTAAATCTGTTACGAAAAAACAACTAAACAAAATGAACACAAAACGATCAGCTTTAAAAAAAGGACTCGTAACTGGAAAAACCGAATGAAAAAAGAATGTTAACAACAAATACTTTTTCACACCCAACCCAGTTCTGCGGAATCAGAATCAACGTTGAGTTTAAGCAAGCGAATGAGCCAATTGGAGTAAAGTGTCATGCAGATTAAAATTTTTCCCACTTGTAACGAATGCAGCTATCGATTTTTTTTTTTTTTTGCATGCTAGCATGCTAGTTAACATTCGTGTCATTCAGCTGTTGGCTCTCACGCTGGCCAATAGAATCTTCCTGCCTATTCGTGGCAGCCAGCTATTGGCTCTCACTCTGGCCAGTAGAAAATGGCCGCAAACTACATGAACACTGCCGTAGAAGCATGAAAAAATCGATTATTTCCACTATCGATGGGAGTTGGGAAATGCAAAGTCGGTCTTGGCCTTCCCACTAACTTGGATCATGTGCATGTAAATTTTGGTGCAAATCCGTCGAAAATTGCGGCTGTGCATTCGTTACACACACACACACACACACACACACATCCTGCCTTTCATAGATAGAGATAAAATCTCGTCATCATAACTATTACCTTCCCTATATATCCTCATAAACTATGTCTCTTACTCCGTAGCCTTCTATCTCGAGTGTCTCTTGGGCCTTGTACAAGGTTGAATATTATTGTAAAAGAGACTTGAAATTACAATAGAGAAGAGTTTGTGGAGAATTGCTGTCCTGCAAGGACACGGCACGTAAAAGAATTCACAATAAAATGGTGATCATTTTAAAAGTTCATTTGACATTGATAAACTGATAGATGAATTCATTTTTTAATCGGCTTCTAAGGTCCTAAAATTGACATTTTTTTTTTAAATTAACTTTATAGCTGATGTAATAATCATGCGATGTATCGATTAATTTTGAAATAAACACATTAGATGCGAGTAATTTAAAGGTATAATTATAGTCATTTATTAAAAAGAAATGCAGGAATACGTTTTTTTTTTCAGCCCCACTTTTTTCATAATTTTTTTTATTTAAAAATAAACTCAGCTTCTTTTTCTCTACTTTATCTCTTTCAAATTAACGGTGGAACTTTATTTCTTCTAAATTTGTTATCGATAATTTGGTCAGGAAAAGGAATGGTTGGGTCATGTAACTTAGTTTTAGAAATAATAAAACCTCGATACTGATGAGGCGCCACAGGATGATTTTGGAATTAGCAGAGCATATACGATAACCTCTGATGGGAGGATTAATTCACGTGAATATTATACATCAGCAACGTTCGATTCCTCGAGGCGGACGCTTGTCTCGACGTGATGTCTCTTATTTGGTAAATGACGTACAACATGGCTGTTCAGGCGTTATATCTGAAATTAGAACCCTTTACTCCAGCCAACCAAAGTCGAAAACTTGTTTGGCCGTCGCTTCATTTTTGTTATCTATTTATTTGCTCATTCATTTTATTCATTTCTTTCTTTCTTTCTTTTTCGGAATTTGCTGATTCCAAAAGATGATGATACCTGGAGCCTGAAACGTCTGCTTCAGTCAATATTGCGTTATTATATAAACCAAATGATGAATGAGAGAATTACGGGTATAACGATAAAACACAAGCGCAGGGTCTCCACCCGGAATTCACTTCCATGTTAGATCCAATAGAGAGCTGATCGAATGCAAGTTTATCATTATTCACATTGGAAATTGTGTTTTGACTTTATTCGCTCGTATGGTTGGAATCAAAATAGATACAAAAGCTTCAATTTCAAGGAAGAACTAACCGAATTTAGCGACAAACACCGGGAAATTACAGGTTTATACATACAAGAAGAGTCACGGATACGTGACTGCATAGACCAGTTTCTTTCTACTCCAGACATAAATTTTAAAAATACTTTTTACACACACACATATATATATATATATATATATATATATATATATATATATATATATATATATAATATTGAAACT